GAATGGATTTTGCTGGTTATCAATGTTCAATTTCTCGGATAAATCCGCACATACTTTAAGAAACAACGTAATATTAAAACAACATATGAACCTGTATGCAAAGAAAAGAAAAGTAGGGGCATTAGATTCACTAACTACAAGAGCCACTAGTGCTGCACTTGCTCTAATCACGACTTGGCATGTGCAGGAGGCGGTCCTGAAGGCGGAGAATAATGGTGCTCTCGACCAGTAACACCACCATTGCTATATTCTTGCTGGTCTTTGGGATAGTAACCTTGCTGTTGAGCACCGTCTGCATAACCAGCACCTCCACTTGGACCGTAATTGGAATATGCGTCACTGTCAAAGTGGCTATAGCCACCAGTCTGATACGTTTGTGGATACGGAGGAGGGACATAATTCTGCTGTTGTGGTTGTGGTTGTGGTTGTGGTTGCGGTTGCAGATATTGCCCCTGGTAGTACTGCTGATTCACATCTTGTGATGGGTAGTATACAGTAGTGGTTGGGCTTCTCCTTCGTAAGAAAAACATGAGAATGATAAAGAATACCGGTATCAATACCAAAAGCCATAATAGCCATCTCCACGTGTACCATCCGCTGTTGTAGTCGTAGTCGTAGTAGTATCGTTTAATTGCGGTGCCGATTACGGAACCGTGATCCTCACTTTGAGGAGTTATGAGCATGATGATGTGCAAGTTGGCGGAAAACTGGAGAGGAATGGAAACAGAAGGGGAACGCTATTTTTGTAGTTATAGTTTTGGCTATTGGTGGGGATCCGAGGGGTGCTCCTTTATATCACGGAATGGATTCTTCAGTTTCACTTTGTGTTAGAATGGTATATGCCGTGTTGTTTGGTAGGGTAACAGTAGACGGGTAGATGGGTTGTTTAAATACATTTTTGGTGCAAAAAAGAAGGTGAAAAATCTATTTATAGAAACTGCTACTAATCGCATCTCTTCACCAAAAGAGAATTGTTTCTATTTTTTGACATTTTCTACAACACAATTAAAAAAAATGTGTATCTATGCGTAGTTTTTATCTATTTATCATTGCTGTAATCACGCTTTTGTAATGAGTGGTTGGTTTACAAACTGGGAGCCTCTACTCTCATGTGACTGTATGTTTAAATTTCCTCTCAGCGTGTTAGTAGTTATTCAAAGATAAGGTTTTCTATTATTCTCTGTCAACTACTACAAATTCACGTCTGAGTTTCCCATTGTCTTGGTCGCTTTCATGATTGAGAATTAGCAGTGGCATCTTTCGACCATAAGCATCTCTAGGCTCTTTGCATCACGTTTTGGTGATTCATGTAAACTTTTTTTTTTTCATGTTTTTTTTTGTTTTTTGCACCCATATCAATGAAAATAAAAAAGTACATTGGTTTACTCTATCCCCACTAGAGACTAAACAGAATAAATTACAAAACATTTGCGAGTCAAGAAAATCAACCCGGTCTCAGAAGGTGATATTGAAAACCCTCTTCAGGTTAGCTGTCGGCACCGAAGAAGGTGCTCTTTGGGAATGAGGCTGATTTTCGCAAAGGTGCTCCTTATAGTCAAGCTGATACCATGGGGTGATCGTAAGCCACCCTAGTGCTCTCCTAGGTCTGCACAAAGGAGCCAAAGAAAAGACTCCATTTAGATGAGTTAGGGACTACTTCATTCTACTCAACGCATAGGAATAACCTCCCATAGTAAAAAATCTCTCCTTTTTAAACAGAGAGAGAGAGAAAAATAAAACATTCTTGAATCAATCCGTCCTCGTCTATGCATCATTAACAAGTGAATATTTAAACAGCATATCAATTTAGAAACAATTGAAGGGCCAGGTTTTGACTCAGAATCACCTCCATGTCAGTACAAGAAAGTGATCCCTGGAAAGAAAACGAGTTATCACCAACACAATCACCACAAAAATCAACCATCTCCTCAGCTACAACGTCGTCATCTGCATCCGCGTCAACAACGTCTACACCGAAAAGAACGAAATCTGGTGCATCGGCACCACCAGCAAATGGAGAATTACGTCCATTGAGACTAGCCAGACAACGTGACAGGCTATCATCCACTTCCCTGATATCAACCAGTCCTTCAGGTGCGACTGCATCATTTTCACCAGATAAGCGTCGTTCAAGCGCCAACACCACAAGCACAGAAGATGGGTTCCAATGCCGACCACTTCGAATTGGTTCAAATAAGAACTTGTCGACTGAAGAGGTCAAGAAGTCCGAAGTTGAGCAACCTATAGGTAGAAAGAAGTCGATACAGATTAGGAATTTACCAATTAAGCGCAACAGTGAAGCAAGCACTCACTCAGTACTCTCTGTAAAGAGTGGCCACAATAGTGATCATGCAGTTGACCAAGAAGATGACATGATATTTGCCATGTGTGTTGTTGATTTCCATCATCAACGAGGTCCAGAAATACAATGGTGGAGATCAAACTATCATCCAAATTACACTCCTGATTTGTTTCGCAACATTCCTTTCCAAGCACTACCCGATGGATCTCATTTGTTTGAGGAAACGTTTCTGAATTTCAACCTAGTTTACGACTTTTGTCAGGGGAAATCTATTGATGATTTTGATTCATTGAACGAGTATCAAGGCGATCCTCGTCATTTGAAAACTTTATTTGGGTGTTCTTGTGTTCGACAGGTACGAACTAGTGAGTTGTCAGCTGAAGAACGAGAGCGAAATAAGGATATCACCAGATCTATGGTCCAAAAAGCTGTGGTTGTAATTGTACGCAAACAACCAATATTCCCAAAGATTAAGGAAAAATTGTCAATCATTACAAAGAGTTACTTCTTACAGGAAAGCCTACAAAACACTGAAGTGTTGGATCATTTATTCGACAATTTGAATAGCCAGTATAAGCTAGTGGATAATGAGTTGCATGTTGACCTCGAACAGGAAGAAGAATACTATGTCAACTTAGATCTACGATCATCGATCTTGAAGTTCAAGTCCAAGTTTATGATTATATTCAAAGCCTTACTTCTTGAAAAGAAGATTCTCATTTACTCAACCGACAATTTGGAAAACTTGACACAATTTCAAAATAATTTGATCTCATTAATACCCAATTTAATTAATAATTTGGATGATTCCGGATGTCCCCTCATAGATTATGTTGAAACAAATGGACCATTACAAAAACCACAATCGCTAATCTCAAATAATAGAGCATCAATGTTGAGATTTTTTGGACTTCCCTTGCAAATATTCACAACCAAAAACTCATTTTGGAATCCATACGTTCCACTTCAGCAGTTGAGTGAGTTGAAGGTCAAGTCATTCATGATTGGATGTTCCAATTTGTTGTTTGTGAATCAAGCGACTTCGTATGGGGTGGATGTCTTGATCAATTTGGATACTAATGAAGTAACGTACCCAAAGACTTTATCCCAACCAGATTACCTTACACTAACTAACCCGGACAAGAAATTCATTAATCACATAACCAGCACAATTCATCCTGACTCCAAGGATTACATCGGCAACGATGACTATATTAGATACCAATTTGAAGATTACATAAACTCATTGATATCGGTCATTAGATACCATCAATATGCCAAACGGTTCTTTCAACCGCCACCGGGATTCGCAGCCGACGATGCCAATGAAGGCTCAATTGACGACTTCAGCAAAAGCTACATTCGAGAGTGGGAAAAGACTGAAAATTTCCAAATATGGAATGCTATGGCGGACGAGTTTGTATTTAATTTTATCGAGCCAGTTCACATCGGCCATTCATTGAAACAACAAGGAGGAGGATCAATTAATAGAAACATTGCCAATTTTTTCACTACCTTGAAACTAAAGTCACAAACGTCAGACGGTGCGGTAGCTACAGCCCCGGTGACAGGCGAGTCCAAGGCACACAAGTTTATTGTTGATGATGATACTGGGGCAACTAAGGCGGAAATTGAGGATGAATTAGTGGCTGGGTTCGAGAAAGTGGGAGTTTCCCATGGCGGCGATGCCAATAATGAGCAGAGACTAGAGACTAAGGCCGAGACAGAGGCGAATACCAATCGAGACTCCAAGCTGAACTCAAACTGGTCGAGTGGGTGGTTCAAGGGATGGTAAGTATGTACATACAATAGCTAGCTTAATCAAAAGCGCAATTTTCCTTTTTTATCAGAAACATAATCTCGACTTTTGTTTTTTGTTTTTTGTTTTTTGTTTTTTGTTTTTTTTTTTTCTTTAAGCTCATCGATACAATCATTCCCTCCCACAATGAAGCATCCGTTCCAACTCCTACGAACAAACAGGCAATGCAAACTCTTGTTTGCTGCTGTTCAAAACCACATTCTTGTCTACAACACATCCTCAGGAAAAGTAATTGGCCATTGGTTCGACGATCAGCAATCAACACATCGAAACCATCAATTGGAAAGACGAACAGGCAAGCAAATTTCATCCAAGGTTCAAATCTACAACCATATCAAATGTTTATCGTTGACTGAGTCGCATCTTGTTGCATCTACGGATTCAGACAAGTCTGTGCTTGTATTCACCCTAGATTATGAAAGTGACAATATCTTGACATTGAGTAAACGACAACCAATGCCTAAACGCCCTTACGCTATAACCACATACGATGGAGTTGCGATTGTCGCGGACAAGTTTGGTGATGCGTACACTGTCGCTATTGATCTGAACCCGCCTGTTGCTGAGAAGGATTTGGTGCCTATTTTAGGTCATGTCAGTATGTTAACAGATGTGGTTGTGGGTGTGCACAATGACAAGCCATTTTTGATCACGAGTGATAGGGATGAACATATTAGAGTCTCGAATTATCCCAAGGCGTATGCCATCAAGCTGTTCTTACAGGGGCACGAGGAGTTTGTGTCGCAGCTTTGTTTGGTGGGTGATTTGCTAGTTTCTGGTGGCGGTGATGATTACTTGTTTGTTTGGAATTGGTATACTGGGGAATTGTTGAGTAAGTTTGACTTGAAGGGTGTTGTGAGTCCGTTTTTGAACGAGGCTCATTTCCCTCCTGAAAAATATAGATCAGAAGACTCACCAAAGGAGATTAGTGTTGCCAAGATTGAATATGTCGAGTATGAGAATGAAAAGTACTTTGTCGTTTTGGTCGAACGCACTTCGTGCTTGATTGTGTTGGCATACAAGGACAATACACTTATTGTACACCAGGTAATACTATTAAACGAGGATTGTGTGACATTCACCGTGGGTAATGGATCCATTTACGTTTCATTGGAGTCTGAGGCGGTGTTGCAACGGTTGAACTTCCTCAACGGAACTTCACAAGAGCTATTGATTGACACAAATCTGATTCCAATCGATGTCAAAGCCAAATCTGAGTATGCTGAGATGTTCCCGGTAACTACATTGCGCAAAAGAAGTGAATATTGAGATGACAAAAAGAATAAAAAAAAAAAAAGAAAATAAAACAGAAAGTTTAATTTTGCATCTATTTACTCTTTGGATATATAAATATAACTCCATACTCTACTCCTCTTCAATAAACCCACCCTGCTTACACAAGGAATAAAACAATGAATCCTTATTCTTCAACAACTCCTGAGGTTTATCGAATTCGGCAACTTGACCCTTTTCCAAAACCAAGATTCGATCAGAATCCAAAATCGTATTCAAACGATGGGCAATAGTGATGATTGTCTTGTCTTTGAATTCAGTACGTATGGTTTGTTGCAAGATTTGGTCAGTTTCAACATCAACTGCCGCCGTGGCCTCATCTAAAACCAAAATGTTTGAATAGTTTAATTTCAACAATACTCGACCGAGACACATTAATTGACGTTGTCCAATGGATAAATTTGTACCTCCCTCGGTGATTTTCACATCCAATGGTGTTTCAACGCGGTCTTTTTCAGCCCCATGAACGACATCTTGTGGTGATTGACTTGAACCACTGTTATTATCGGTTGTTGTCTCACCTGCTTCCACATCCCTTTCAGCATACATCTTCTCCACATGCTCCTTCAAATGAGATAACTCCAATGCACGCCAAATTTGATCATCAGAGTACTCATCATTTGGATCAAGATTAGATCGAATTGTACCTTCAAAAACTTGCGAGTCTTGAGGAATGATACTCAACTTGTGTCTTAGATCGTATAATCCAATTGTATCAGTCTTGATTCCATCGATATTGATATCACCTTCAAATGCTTCAATAATTCTAAACAATGCCAATGTGATTGATGATTTACCAGCTCCAGTTCTTCCAACAATACCAATTTTTTCCTTTGGTTTGATATCAATGTTGATGTCTTTCAACACTAAATCCAACTCGGGCCTATACTTTGTTGAATAATGTTCAAATTTAATCTCACCATCCTGAGGCCATGCATGAGGTGGGCGACGGTCAGGGATGATCTCTGGTGCTTCGCTCTTTAATCTCGAATACTCCAAGCATCTTTCAACCGCCACGATATTCGTTTCCACTTCAACAGTCATTCGCACTATCCAGTTTAAGGATTGGGTAATTTGTAAAGCATACGACACTGACAATCCCACTAAACCCGCGGTAAGATGACCTGAAGATAAAGTGAGGATTGACAACCCAGCAGCTCCAAGAATGATTACAGACCCCAAGAATTCCAATCTCACAGCTAGCCATCTATTTGCATTGATTGCTGGATTATACGCCTTCATGTTTTCGTCAATACGGTATTGATTCAAAAACTTGAACCTCTCTTCTTTCCCATATGCTCGGATCGTCGACACCCCAACCAACGATTCTTGGAAATTGGCATAAATAGGAGACCTCGAAACTGAATCCAATCTTCTCAATTCTCTTGATGTGCGCAAATAGTACTGTTGGTAGTAAACGTACAATATTCCCAATGGTAAAATCAAAAACACAAATTGCCAAGTTGAAAACGAAATGACGACAATAGTGATGAATACTCGAACCGTGTTGCTGAAAAACATGTTAAACACCCTTCCAATAACTTCATCTATTTTGTAAATATCATTGGAAAACCGATTCAAGATTCTTCCAATTGGCGTAGTTTCAAAAAATGTCATTGGTGCTCGCATGACGCTGACTGCCATTGAATTGTGCAACTTCTTTGAGCCTTGAATGGTACACAAAATCCAAAGTGAAATGTTTTGAATCAATGAACTGAGGGAGTATCCAATACCCAAAAGAAAGTAAATACCAAGGTACTTGAGAACGTTGGGGTTGTATCCATACCTTGTGTTGATTTCCGACCAATGCTCTAACCAGAATGTGGAACTAACATTAACCAAGTATGAAAGAATGATACACCCCAAAAAGATAATGACATTCACAGGACCACAAGCTTTGGCATATTCGGTGTATACCTCCCATTTTACTTTACCCTGTTCGATATGCTCTTTTCTAGCTTTGGTATCTTCATCTTCCTCTTCCTCTTCCAACTGTTGCTGTTCTTCTTGATACATTTCATCGTCACGTTCATCATCAGCAATCAAAGGTTGTTCAGAAGCACGTCTCAAGCTGATTACATCCATATCACAATCAGAGTCCAAGTCTTCCAAATTCACATCATCGTCTTTAACCTCATAATCTTTGCCGTCTTCATTACCTTCAGCATTCAGTTTACTATTCTCACTTCCACCACCGCCATCAACATTCTTTCTAGTCGATGGGGTAGGTGTTGGCGACTCTTCCCTCTTTTTACCAAACTCATCAATCAACAACTTCAACTTTGAATTCTCTTGTTTCATAATATCATCATAAGTACCTTGCTCAATCAATCGTCCACCACTGACCATATGCAAATGGTCAGCAATACTCAACACTTTGATATTATTCGTAGCCAACACTTTACATTTACTTCTCAAAAGACCCAGTGGACCAATCACATGATCCACCAAATGCTTTCCAACATGCTCATCAACAGCACTCAACGGATCATCCAACAAGTAGACATCGGCACGAGCATAAACTGCTCTTGCTAGTGACAATCTTGCCTTTTGACCACCCGACAATGAAATCCCCTTTTCTCCAACTTCGGTTCTGTCACCTTTGGGCAAAATCGCCAAATCAACCGTCAAGGCACATGCTTTTAACACTTGTTTATAGAATTCTGCATCGTACACATGACCAAAGAGAATATTGTCTTTGACTGTACCATTCATAATCCATGGAACTTGAGGAACATAAGCTACTTTCCCATGCAAGGCCACTTCACCATCCAATTTGTACAAGTCACCCAAGATGGCTTGTATGATTGATGACTTACCCGATCCAACTTTGCCCACAATACAATCCAATTGTCCCTTTTTCGCCATCAAGTTGATATTAGACAATGCTACTTTATAGTTTTGTTCCCCTTTTGCCTTTGACCAAAGAAATGTACCATTTTTGATCGATACTGCAACCTGGCCCAATTCGGTAGCTGGTGGCAATTTGACCACAGCATTATCCTGCAATTCAGAACTGGTCAAGTACTTGGTCAACCTTCCAACGGCTACTTGAGCTTCAACAATGTTTGTAATAACCATGGGGACAACAGCTAATGGGAATGACAAGAGGTTAAACAAGGACAATGCCGGAAACACCAAATCTGTAGACAAGCTCTTTTTCTGAGTCAATACAAATACCCCAAATGTAGAACAACTCACCAAGAATGGCGCTAAATTCCAAGTGAAATTGGCAGTGGCCATGAAAATCCCCATCTTTTTCAAATTCTTCAATTCCAAATCATTACGCACAAAATTCAATCTGTCTAAATAGGGAACTTCCCATCCATACAACTTCAAACTTTTGATATTGTTCAAGATCTCATTAATCAACCGCGACCTCTTATCCTTATACTTCATTTGTGTCTTTTGCAATTGCTTTTGTTTTCTAGCAATTGCTGCATTTAAAGGAATCATAATCACCATGATTGCAACACCAGCCCACATTGAATTTCCAATCAAGCCATGCAATGAATACAAACAAATGATGATTTGAAATGGACCTGACCATACAATTTGCAAATTCTGCAGCAAATCCTGTAATCTTTGGACATCAACCGACATCAAGTTTACAATATCACCAGTTGAAGACTCTTGTTTTGACTCATTTGACAACACAAGTGATTTGTCATACACTGTAGACGTCAATGAGCTCTTAATCTTCATTCCGAAATCAAATGCTCTTTGGAAATATTGATGCAAGCATGCTGTTTGCACTATAGACACAACAAACATACCCACTGCAATCAACAATCCTCTAGTCAAGGGTAACGGTTCGCCCCCTTTCATCGATTGTGAGTAATCATTGACAAATTTAATCAACAAACGCAACAATTGGGGTTGAATAAATGCAAAACAGTCCTGAGCTGCTTTAAAAACACCACCAAGAAGAAACTGTCCACCAAATGCCTTGGAGATTGCCCAAAACAAGGACTTTTTCCCAGCTGGTTGTTTATTCCAATAATAGTCAAACTCATTTGTCGTTGTGGTTGATTTCAAATCACTGGGAAGCGGTGGTAAATCCTTTTGAGTAAGGAACTGTATGTATCCGCGTTTCATCAATCCTCCAATCCAATCAAAAGTGATTCTTGAAAATACATTGGCTCGGTCGTATGGAGACACCAATTTGTTTCTTTGAACGTAATTGATTGGTTTCATGGGGAATACAGTCTCGATAATTAATACTGCAAATGCATTGACGGTACTCAACACCACAAACACTGCAAATTGCAGATCAAACTGATGACGCAATTGCAAGTTGACGATTCTCCCCAAATTCAAAATTATTTGGAATAGCCAGTAAAATAACAACACCCCATTGGGAACTGTTGATTTAAACTGTTCTAAATAGTGAATGCCCAAAGCCACCACTGTAGCTACTATATTCAACACGAGTGATGATTCAATTATACCTCCTTCATGTAAAGGATACGATACGGCTAATACAACTTGAAACACCAATTGAATGGCAACAAGCAACAACTTGACATAGAAGCTCCAATCAACCCTGTTGGCTACTTTTATCCTCTTGTTTCTCAAATGAAGCAACTGGTACGATCCAATAATAATCATGAGTAATGACGAGATTCCAAATAGTATACCTTGTAGAAAACATGGAGTCAAATCATTGTATTTCCCAGATAATGGACCCCATGCCTCATGCTTCGATGTACAGCTGACAAGCTTCCAATGTGGTAGCCATGTCGAAACAGTAAATGACTCTGCAGGGAGCGTAGTTGTGTTGTCGTGTTTGCCATTGCTGATGGCTAGTACGTTAATCTGAGTAAGCAGATCCCATCGATTGATTGAAAATGGGTTCCAGCTGGATGAATAGTCAATTTGTTGCTCCATCTGTGACTCAGTGTCGAAAACAGTTTAGCTGTGTTTTATTTTTTTTTAACTGGTGTGAATTCGATATGAATAATGAATTTGTCCCCTGCGGTTTTAACCACCATTCATAAAGAGTTGAAGAAAAAAGCGAAAAAAAAAAAAAAAAACAAAGCTGAAAAATTGTGCGGTCTTTAGTAAGCAAAAGCAATATCTGATGTAGGGTCAAACGAATGAATATTGAACTACAATGGACTATAGATAATAAAATACACTCAGTGCTGGCTCTATTTTCACCCGACACGTTACTTGAACAATTTCTTCAACCTTGACCTCTTTTTTGAAGATGTATCTGAAGGACCGGACCTGTCTCCCGAGCCACTTGTAGGTGCAGAGTTCAGCTCTGGAGTGGCCGACTTTGTGCTTCTCTTTTTGTAATGCCCACCTCCACCAGAGCCACCCGCGCCATTGGCAAACGATCCAGAGTCTTGCTGGAGTCCATGGGCTCTGGCGTAGGCCTGCTGTTGCTGCTCAACTTGTTGTTGGAAAGAGGCGCTTTGACCAAATTGAGGTTGCGTCTGCTGCTGGTACTGTTGTTGTTGTTGTTGTTGTTGTTGTTGCTGAGGGGGGATACCCAGTCCTCTAATAGTCGATTGTTGTTGCACAGGTACAGACCGTGGTATACCACTAGTTCCATCATTATACAAGAAATTGGGAATTTCTTCGCTCTTGGACAACTCCTTAACAATGTTTAAATCCAACGCTTCAAGAGTCTTATTCGAACCCATGCTTTGTAGTCCAATAAGGAAATCTCTAGGTCTCAAAATCAGTTCAGAACCAATATAAAACTCCTTATTGAGAGAGCTCGACAATTCGTATATGGAGCGAATTTCACTATAGGTTATACCACCAGCAACATAGCAGAATATACGCTGTTTTTGTTTTAGGCTGGAGACACCGCCATGCCTAGACAAGTTTGAGGCAGATGTACCTGTTTGTGAAGCCCAACTTGCTTTAATTCTTGGGTTTCTCAACGTACCACTTGAATGTAAGTCGGCATTTTTACCCCTTGCAGAGGATGAGGAAGAGCCTTTAGGCTCATTAGCCACCACTTCATCATCCAATGGAATGTCACGGAAATAAGGGAACCATTCACGATCAAGCGAGTACTTGGCGACATTTTGCATAATTGTCTTGAGACCAGGGGTATACCTACTTGTGTTGTAAGTTCCTTCATTGTTGATGGTGTGGAAATATTGTTTACCAAATGGTTTATCCTTGATGTCAGTTTTAAACAACTGGAATCCCAATTTATCAACATTGTTGAAGCATCTCTCCACCAATCCAGAAATGTGACGATCATCAACGCCAATGAATTTGATCAACTTTTCGAAATCGGCTCTAATCAATCCACCACGATAAAAAGCATAGATTAATATAAGTCTCATCTTATCATTTATATGTAAATCATCTCTAGCCAACAACACAATCAAATCGTCATGCAAATGCTTGTTTCGCTCACCTTCAAAGCTTACACCATCAGCACAACAAGTTTGTTCGAAATCAGCGGCAAATTCAGCCAATTTTCTCAGAGCATTGATATCGAGACATTTGTCAATAAGGGTCTTGTGCAACGTCAATTGTCTTCTTTCTTCATCAAACCCCTTTAGATGGGCAACAATGTACATCAAATCTGATGAAGTACTAGCTTTAGATCTGTCAATCATCAAGGGGTTATTCTTGACCAATTCGGTAATCTTGTTGACAATCAATTCCGAACTTTCAATGATATGCAAATGTCGTAAATTGATCCAGTCTTCATCATCTTCGTTATCCAAAGTTGCCACCACGTCCTTAACTTCACCCTTTTCATTTTCACTCTGGTATTTGAAAACGCCATCTTTTTCCAAAGATTCCACTATATCCATTGCCATAGCCTGGTACAGGAATTCATGCAACAATGGAGCAAACAAATCAATAGTACGATCCGTGATCAATAATATCGATCTAGTTTTGGCTGATACTTCAGGGGTGGGGTAATTTTGATTAGCACGACAGTATTCATCCATTTGCTTTTGGAACTCATCAGCAATCAATTCAGGTAAACGTTTGGCTTCGTAATTGGCATCTTGAGGGCGATAAAATCGTATAAAGGGGTACTCTTCCATTGAAATCATCACATTTAGCAAGCACTTGGCAACTAGTTTGATCTGAGGCATAACCAAATGAAGTGCATTCTTATTGTAATAAAGAGGCATCGAATTGGGAGTCTTGTCGTCGACTAAAAACACTCTTGTTTCGACTGCATTGTACTCGAAATTGATACGGCCATATTCGGTGATGAAGTTATCGACATGGGGAATAAATCTTTCAAAAAAGAATTTGGTGGCTTTGCGATCAACATCCTCATCCTGATATGCAAATAACGTCCTTCCACTCTTGTATCGTTTTGTTTTCACATCGGCCATGATACATTTCATATTGTAGATTGATTGTTCAACCATGTAGATTGCTGTCATATAGGCGTTTTTTCTTCGTTCTGTGTCAATTAGCTCCACCGATGCCACTATTCGTAGCAATTGTTCCTTGGTGAATGATTTATATAGTATGGTTTTCACTTTCTCATCAATCACCAAGTTGTAGATTTGTTTTGGATCAGCAGCTTGGGCTTGCTTAATCTTGTTGTGTATGTAGTCATGCTGGATGTTAATGAGCGAGTTGGGGTCTTTGTTCTTGGACATGGCAACAATCACTTGGCGTGGGTGGGGGTGGGGAATATAGTACAGTGTCTTGTGTGTGTTGAACAACTGGTAGACAAGTGGTTGTTGATTGTTGAAAGATTGGTAGTGAACTGAAATTTTTGTTTCTTGAAGTTGAAAATTATTTCCTGATTGGGACATTCATTTAGAGAGAGAGCACTCTCAATTATCAACTACACAGTAGCCACTACTAATGCCACTTCTGTCTTCGCTGGTAGTCTGAGAGATAGACAAAGAGAGAGACAAAGAGAGAGAGAGAGAGAGAGGCTTTATAATCAATTCCAATGGAGAGATAGAATCTACTAATAATATATGTAGTCTCACTCATTTAAGCTTTTCTTCAACCTAAACACGAAAAGAGTGTTGATTTTCACACAAATCTTAATGTCGCAACTTAACAACACACGACAATCATAGGGAGGGACGTCTTTTACAATGTCTACTGTATGTAAAAGAGTAACACAGATGCTGGTTGTTACTAAAAGGAGTAACAAGGTTGTCTGTCTGCTTTGTGTTGATTAGCGTTTTCGTAACCGTAGATGCCCCTAACCATTAGCTCAAATGATAACCATACACAAGCTCAATAACATCGCAATCAAACCAAGCCATTTACTCATAGACCTACCAACACAGTCCCATCCCCCAATATCCAATCCTGCAAACTGTGCAACCACAGATTGACCACCACCAGAGCTTGACGTAGATTGCGCAGAATCCTGTGCAATTGACGATGACGCACTACGTGTATTAACTCCTGTCACAATAATAGATCCCGATCTAATCAATGCGCCACTAAGTCGAGCCGGGATATTCAACAGAGCAAGCTGTCCATCATTCGCATTGGGAGTGACTTCCGAATACGTCAAGGTGATTGACTCGGCCACAGTCGATGCGTTGCCCGCATTGGCATACGTCATGGGGGTGGCGAATGGAATCGTCCCCGATTCAATATATGCAATTGATGATATGTTTCTTGCCTTACCTGATCCAATTGCTGTGGATGCTGCTGGCGGTGCTACTGATGACAAATTGAATGCCGGGAGTTGATGTTCATCCTCTAAATGGAGCAACTCAGCTTCATCAACATCAAGAAACTTGTTACTATTCGCAATTGCAACCTGTCTCCCATCATTATCTACGACAAGATACACGTGCTTCAAAAACAGTAGACCCAAAGAGTTGTAACCGGCAGCATCGGTTCTCAAAACAGTCAAATAACATGCCTTGTTTCCATTTTCAAATTGGAGATTATTTCCTTGGTATACTGCATCAACTAGGAATTCACTGACTGGAATTTGAACATTGACCGCCCCAATAACAAAATTGACAGTAGCGTTACTGTTTGAAGTTAGGACATCACATTCTACCAACCATCGATTCGCCTCTGAACTGAAATATGCATTCGTTTGAATCGCCAAATTAATAATAACATTCAACGGTAGGTACGAATACATTATTCGTGAGTCCAACAACACAGGTAATGGTTCATCTTCATTTGATTTTAGAGACACACTCTGCCCAGTATCTATACGCTCAACTTTGATATTGTCCAAGTTTATAATGGGCAAGATTAACCCTGCCAAGTCTGCGTTTGTTGAAGCTTGAGTGTAATTATACCGTACACCTGTATGAGGAATTATATCGATTGAATATAAATCTCCAATATAGTACTTTTTGTCAACCACTCCAGGAATTAGCTGAGCTATGGATAACACATTGGACGAGCTATCACCATCATCATCGTCAGCACCATTGTTGTTGTTGGTCCCATTGTTTGTGCTATTAGAGCTAAACCAAAGAGAATAACTTTGCGATTTGATAACATTTTGTTGCACCAATCGTGACAAGAATCCATTTCCCTTTGGATAACTAGCCAACCCCAATCCACCAACAGACATTCCAGTATCATTGACATTGACAAATGTGAAATTTGACATTTGGAAATTATTGCCCGAAGTTGTATTGAAATTGAAATCATCAGTGACAAATTCACCACTTGCATGAATTTGATTCAAATACGGGATAGTGTACACATCCCCATTACGCATTGCTGCGTCACCTACACCCGTTGGGGATGGCAAATTACTTGGTGATGTGGTCCCCTTAGTGTACAACCCTTGTCTTGCACAGTTTGTAGTGAATATTGGAGCGTCAGCTACCGATGAAGGTATACTGGAAACACTACTCTCAAAGTATGGACTCAAGATACTACTTCGTGACAGACAGATTTCTGAACAGTCTTTGTACTTTGCCCCATTCATGACCCAAACTTCCGGTTGAATCAAATCCAACCGAAGTCCGATTTGTTGTGAGCTGTCTGGGCTCTCTTCACCGTCATTTGTACCGTTTCCTTCTTGTTGTTGTCGTTGTTGCAGATTTGCACCAAATTCAAATTGTGCATTGTAGTAAGAATCATCTGAGCCGACAGTAAACACCAACTTAAACACATCCATATCATTCCGATCTTCAGTTGAGTATGTTGAGGCAACCGTGGTTTGTGTACTTGTTAGGTTAGATTTCAGAGATAGTGCTGCAGTAGTCGCTGCAGTTCGTATTGTAGGTCGTGCTATGGTAAAGGGGATTATATCAGTTTCATCCTCATGAGAATCCCGTTTGTCAAAGTCAGGAAGGTGTGGCAAATCGAGGCTGGTGGTGGAAGTTTGTGTAAGTAGGTTGATCAGCTGCAGTGACAGAACTGGCATTTGTAGTAGTAGTAGTAGTATTAGTGGAAGCATAGTTATAAGTGGATACATTGTATTGAGTTTGTAGTGAAATTATGCTACCCTGTGACAGTACAGGGAAGCGTGATTAGAAGTTGGCGTAAGTGGTATCTGTGATAAACGTGTTGCTTGATGAAGTTATATGGTGTTACAATATTAGGAAAGGGATGAAAAATAATTTCCATATTTTGGCGTTTTTAAGCACTGAGCCGCTGTTTTTCTTGGGTAGGTGTATATATTACTTGGGTTATGAAGCTATTACTCGGCTGTCTTCAAGTGAAAGAGTAAGTATAGAGGTATAGATACGCAAAATTACGCTTTAGTTGATGAATAGGGGGTGCCACTGGGTTTACATCTGATGTCTGGGAAAAGAGAAACTGGTGTCTCTCGTATATTTTCCTTTCGTATTTGTTTTATAAACAGTTTTTGTCTTTTTATTTACGATTACGTCATAGGCAAATAATACCCAACTTTTACATGTCACAGGATTTACACGCCATATATGTATATATATATATCAACACAATCTTCTACTTTGATATCATCTCCAATAGTTTCGTCTTTGCTCCTTAGATGAACAAAGATCTCACTTTGTAATCACCTCCGTGTGTGACAACCAAACAACTCCCACCCAATCCTTCCCATTCAATCACAGCTTTTTATTCAATTGCAAATCAACAGAACATACATTTATCCCCTTTGGATTAAACAATTTACTAATGAAATCAATATTGCTCAAACAATCCTTAACATCAGTAAACCGATTCAACGAATAATGCAATATCACAACCAACTTTATCGTAACCAGACTTGTCCTATCGAAAATTTCCCTTATGGCATGTTCATATTTCATCAAGTTCTCAATCAGTGATTTGAAGTCTGATAGTGTTATATTAACTCGATAATGATGAAATCTTGCTACATGTTTGATTGTGGTAGTGTTGCTGTTTATTTGGCTGATCTTGTGACCCTCTTCCTCTTCTTCTTTACTTACATCGTTTGTTTGGTCCTCATCCATCTGGACAGAGTACTCTCCATGACGATAGATCTGTTCCTGCATGTCTTTGGCCAATTCGGGATATAACCGTAGCTGTTTAACTGTGTTTAATGGTAAGTATTCGTAGATTTGAAATAGAACCTCATCAGGTAGATCACGGAGATTCATTTGCAGGTGCAGATGCAGCTGTGGTTGTGATTGCATTTGGGGTGCAGTAGTGTTGTGTGCACAGGTGTTGATTATTGTGGATGTTTGAGTATAAAGTGTTTGGTCGATTTTATCTTTTAATCTTCTCTCCGCAACCGGGATATTTATTTTTTATTTATCCAAAACTTTGGAAATAAGCGATACACTTCTACTGTGTTTTACTCAAGTGGTTGGTCTAAACAAACCTGCCAGTATCTGAGCTTTGTTTTGCAAAAACAAAAAAGTTATCTCAATTCAAAGAGTGACTTGTCAACAGCCATGAACTACACAATCGCCCTCCATTGCTTGAACACGAAAGCAAAATTTGATATTTGACTACTCAGGAGCATGTTCAAGATCAACCAGTAACTCTAATTTATTGATAGACAAGTTGTGGGAGACCCCCCTACCAGTCTATGGAAGAAAGAAATTTCTTCATTCTTTTAATCACTGTGTAGACACTGTTTTATGATAACAAACATCCTCTTTACTCAACTCAACTGGCAAGAAGAAGAAGAAGAAGAAGAAGAAAAAAAAAAAAATTTCAAAGCAAAAGAACAAAAAAAAATATCAAATCTCTGCAAATCTCACCTCAAGCCATTCGTCAAAGTTAACGTCCCCGCATCAACACAGACATACAACTCCAATCCCGACTCATCATGCTTCCATTGTACCTCTTAACATCAGCGAAAAACCAACCGATCCTAGTTGAATTAAAAACAGGAGAAACATACAATGGAAACCTAACCAATTGCGACTCATGGATGAACCTCACCCTCCACGACGTCATCCAAACCAACTCTACTGGAGATGAGTTTGAGAAAATTCCAGAGATATATATCAAGGGAATGCACATCAAGTATTTGCGCATACCTGACCAAACCATGGATCGGGTCAAGGAGCAACAACAATTGTACCATCATCAACAACAACAACTGCAACTGCATCATCAGCAGGGACAATACCGCCATCATGGTGGCGGTGGCGGTGGTGGTGATAGCAGGAATAGGTTTATTAAGAGAAGAGGTGATGGTGGTAGTGGTGGTAGTGGCAGTGGGAATGGCCGAGATGGTAGAGATTATAATCGTAATAATAACAACAATAATGGAAATGGTGATCGTGGTTCGAGACATGGCAGAGACGGCGGAAGAGGTAGAGGACAGCAAGGTGGTGGTAATAGGCCAAATAGTAATCGTCAGGGTAATGAATAGCGGTCTAAATATACGACGTATAGACTGAAATGATTTCATGCATGCAAGTTAGCTGAGTAGGACTACTTTTTTTCTTGGAGTATGTATTAATGACTACAATGTTTTCCTGGCTTACGGCGGTAATACTCTTTCTTATCGTAATGGCTTTACACTTGGCTTTACTTGGGCGACCTACGTGTAAATCACGCCTGTTTTTGTGAGGAACCAAGGGTCAAAACATACCAAAAAAAAAAAAAAAAGGTACAAATGAAGAGCCGTAAATTCTAGAGCCCAAAATCAATATACATAACACCTTCATTGGCCACTGTATTCATTCAACCATATCAAGATATCACACACCCCACCTCACTACTGCAACACTATCAAACTTGAAACAAAGCGGCAGCAACAAAAGATATGTCTCACACATTCGTCAGTAATCTCACAACCACAAACTCCACCTTCTCATCAACGGCTCAAATAGAGCCGGAGTTTAAAGCTATGGATCTTCCACTGCTTGAGTCAACGTCCAAAGCACTCGGTATCTTCCCCGAAACTGGCATTCATAACCAGCACAACAAAACCCACTCACACCAGCACCAAAAGCAACCGATGCAAGAGCAGCAACAAGAAATCCATCATAAACTTCATCAGCACCATCAGTGCCATGAGAACCCTCACCAGTATCATTCTTCTTCACGCAGACGAGCCGCATCCTCAACGTCAAATTTCAAAAGTAGAGCTATTTTACCAACAAGAACAATTTCGCGTGGATTATTCAAAGGGTACAATGATATGCGTCGATTCAACTGTTTCTCCAAAGAATGCAGTCTCAATCTTAATGAGTTTCAAAATTGCCTGTATTGTCGCCACATTCCTTACATTCCTTCCCCCTTGAAAGTTGTCGAATGTAATAAGCACAATGAGGAAGTTTCCACTAGTGGAACAAACGACAACAAAGAAATAGCGAGACACAGAACATCAATATGGGCAAGTAACAATATTGAAAATAGACCCAACGAGTTTGGGAATAAAGGCGAGGAGATGGACGCTTTGGATGATTATCTTTATCAGTGGAAACAGCAACAAGATTTCAAGAAAATGAGAGTGCCCTCACAGGGTCTGGCATTCATTGCGTCTCGGGAAAAGTCAAGACAACAGCTGCAGCAGAAGCAGCAGAAACAACATCAGTTTGTATCCTCGTATCCATCCCAATCTATTTCAAACACATTAGACCAAATGTCAGCTCCAAACTCGCATCTGTACCCATCTTTACATGAGCAGCATCCAAGCAAATTATTTAGCACCGTCTGTGGAGCCAACCAAAAAATTGAAGAATCGACTCAAAACAAAACATTTGGAATGATTGGTCTTTTGAGAAACTCTGATTTCCCGCTTAAACAAAAGTTTATCGAAATCAAGAAAACCCTGTCGAGGAGAGGTATCAAAACGCAACGCTCTAGCACAGCACCATCCACAGAAGATTTGTAGTTAAAACATCAGCCATAATATGGGGGCAATAAACGTTTCTCTTCAAACCAATTTCCTTCTCAATGCTAGTTACTGAAACTCTGGCAAGGTCCAACTGCGCAAGTCCGATCTATACTTATCTTCATTAATCAACCCATTCAAATTCCTATACCCGCTGTTGTTCTTATCATCCTTTTCAATTTCAGATTCGTAAAACTCCTTCAACTTCAAATTACATCCATATGGATTCCGAGGATTATCAAAGATATCATCGATGCATTGGTTAGGAGAGTAATCCAAAAGTGGATACAATGCCGGATCCCAATTGCTTTCAAGAATCTTGATGTACAAGGAGTTAATAATGGGATCCATTGGAACGTGGCGATTGACTCCAGATACAAAGTTTCCATTTTGAGCTCCTCCTCCTCCTGCTGCTGTATTGGTATTTTGCCCATTCAGATTGGGCAGTTGGGCCGACATGGCCAGTGAAACGTCTGATGATTGTGCCACTAATTTGATCAAGTCCTGGTTGTTCAAATTTCTAATATCATCTATTGGCGCACCATCGAGAGAAAGCTTTGACGACGCCGACAGTTCAGCCGAGCTTCCTTGATTGAGGGCTGCTCTGTGTCCACGGTATGCGTGTTGGTGTTGGTGTTGGTGTTGGTGTTGGTGTTGGTGTTGGTGTTGGTGTTGGTGCGGTGGAGGTTGCACTCTATCATTCGTCTCCGATTGTGGTGTAGTTGGCGATGATGGGGTATGGTTGGCTGATCCATGTTGCTCATCCGTATTTCCATCACCGAAAATATTGCTTATTCCATTAAACACATTTTTACGTTCAAATTGGGGTACGTTGAATGTAGTGCTTCGTTTCTTATTTTGTTGAAGCCCTTCACGCACAGCGGTGGATGACACAACACTGCTGTTGTTGTCTTGAATCTGCAACTGAGTATGAAAATCAAAACTTTCGGGTAACTCGGCGAGACCAATTGTCAAATTCAAGATCGAATTGACTTTGGAGTCATCCAATAGGTACTTCAAATTGACCGGCTCTTCAAAATTCAAATATTCCGACAAATTGATATCTAAGCGGCCCAATGGAATGATTATTTGCTCGGAACCCCCATGTCTATCATCATGGACGTAAAATACCTTCAACGACAAATACTTGTTAGCAATCAACCTGTTTTTTTTACTCTTGACACCAAACTTTAGATTACATGTAAGTTTGTAGTTGAAGTTACATTTGAAATTGTGCAATTTCTTCAAAGAGGTTGTGGATGTAACGTGTCCTGAAGAGCTTTTGGCCTGAGAAATTTCTTTGTTGACAGCTTTGGAAGCTTTCAAATCCATTTTCCCTAAAAATGTCTTTGCAGGGTTTGAAGAGGAAGAGCCACCATTCTCTGGCAAGTTCGAAGTCGATGACTGTTTCGAAGGCGCCTTCGACCCGTATGTGTGTGTGTGCGCATGCTTTTGTTTGGAGTCACGGATGGAAACTTCAATGTAGCAAGCTCCATTTATTTGTGGGACATTGGTGAGCTCATGTATGGAGAGCTCCAAAGCGAATTTCGGTTTAGATGAGGTAAACATTGCTTGGATCTGGGGAGAATTGGGATGAGTTGTAGGAACGTGTGATGTTCCTTGTGTGTTGTCTGGCTCGAACGGATATCACGGGGTGGTTTTTTTTTTTATGTTTTGTCTCTTTTGTTTTCGAAGGAGATATGAGAAGAAATATTGCGACTGGTTAAGCTACTTAATAATCATTTACATAATCAGATTAATCGCTCTCATTCATATAAAAACTATCATCGGAGTAATAGTCAGTTGATAGTACCCAACCCCACACCAATGGATTTAACATCATTCAACAGTATGTTTACTCTTACAGGTGGTATAATTAATCACCCCTCCTCAGTCTTACTAACACACACTTAGAGCTACGAATTGATATCATTACAAGTACTTCACTTGATCAATTGCAACAGATCCAACAAGACTTCCAAAATCTCATCGATTCACAAGCACCAGGTACTAGTTTCACAAAGAAGTTGGAAACCGAAAATGTCAACTCAATACATAGACTCATACAGTCTAAACAAAATCAACTAAGCAAAGTGAATTTCAAGTTTGTAGGAGAGCCTCAACCTCCTACACCGATCAATAAATCCAACCGTGATTCCAACGTATTTTCCGATCTCAAGTACAATTCCACAAGTGTGCTTGATACAGATTACAAATGCGAAGCAGATCACATCTACATATCGAAGTTTTCCAATAGTGTTGTTTCACTCGAATCAAAGTCCATAAGTCTACAAAGTGGACAAAATTCAGTTTGCTATTTGCATTCATCCGGCCCTGTATTTGTCCATGACGCTGTCAACTGCATCCTTATAATCTCTTGTCATCAGGCGAGGCTTCACAAACTACGAAACTCTTTGGTCATTGTCCAAAATAGAGAGAAGAGAAAGCCGATAATAATTGAAAACTGCTCAAACTTGATGATTAACGACGTTGATATTGATGATTTCAATCATCCTAGTAAACTGACAAAGAGTCCCAACTATAAAGTCCTACAAAGTGAAGTATTGGCAAATATTCAACAGCAGATACATCATGTCAATTTGTCCAACTTGGAACCTACCATTTCTTCAATTCTACACAGTGTGAAAACCTATAATATATAGAAAAGGTATAAAAACAAAAAAAAATGGCCTTTTTCTTACTTCAGTCCCTTTTCCTCTCTTTTAATCTTTTCTGGAACATATGGTAGGAATGCAAAAAACTGATAAAATAAAATAAAATAATGCATTTCTTCTTCTCCCACACTGTACATTAGGCAGTAAGGCGAGTAACCAGCCAAATACTACAGGCCGGCACATGAAGACATGCTGAACCTGTTTTACCATTTCAGCTTACCACCAGTAAGGGCGGCTCCTTTAAAAACAAAACAACCTCTCTCCTCCAAACCACCTTTTCAAAACCAACACCATCAGCACCAGCCAGGATATCAGCCATAGCACAACAAGCCACAGCATCAAGCCAAACCCATTGAAGCGTACAACTAGCTTCGGGAGAAAGAGAAAAAAACGACCAAGTCTGGGTGGTTTTGAAGTCGGACAGACCTACTCCTCCACCTCCAAACTAGTCTCATATTTATAGTATTCAAGGACTCGTCTTGAGTGTAAAGACCGCTTTTCATGCTAAAAGCTTAAAAGGTCGTGTCGTACTCAATATTCATATAATCCCAATCAGCGTGAAACATCTCAAGTTAAGCTAGACTATACAACACTGCTCTTTTTCCGCAATCTCCCCTCATCCTCCACACACACACACACACACACACACAACACAACACAACACAACACACAACACAACACAGCCCCAATGGATCTTCTACATTCAGTACTTGGGTCCTGTCTTCCATGCTTTCCATCACTATCACTACCCTCAATCAAATTCAACAACGCCAGTTACAAGATTATTAGGCTACTCGGTGAAGGTGGGTTCTCCTACGTCTATCTAGTGCATCTGTCGTCACAATCTCCATACGCATTGAAACAAATCAATTGTCCCTATGGAACTCAAGATGAAACTTACAAAAACGCTATACGAGAAATTAAAAACTATCATCGATTCGCCAACACAAAGACCCCTTACATTATTCAATCAATTGATGAATCGATAGTCACCAACCCTGATGGTGTGAGACACGTGTACATTCTACTACCATACTTTACCAAATCAGTCCAGGATGTATTGACTGAACATGTGCTCAACGGAACCAAGATGGATGAGCTGGAGATTGTCAAGATTTTCATTGGTGTTTGTCGTGGGTTGAGGATTATGCATAATTATAAACAAGTGTCGAGAAACGCGGCTAGACTAGATGATGGTGATGAAGAGGAAGCTTTGTTGCAAGATGAGGAAGATGATGACCAAGTTGCGGCATCAGCGGTGGGGGCGGCGGCGGCAGCGACTTCGACGTCGGCTGCAGAACATGACTCTACTGAAATGGAAGAATTGGTACCATATGCGCACCATGATATCAAGCCTGCAAATGTCATGATTTCAGCGGAGGGACTACCGGTGTTGGTCGACTTGGGGTCATGTTCTAGAGCAAGATACAATGTTCGTACTAGACAGCAAGCATTGGCATTGACCAACTTTGCTCAGGAACATTGTACGTTACCGTATAGAGCTCCCGAGTTGTTGGACGTTGCCACCGGGACACAAATCACAGAAGCTACAGATATTTGGTCTTTGGGGTGTTTGTTATACAGTTGCTGTTTTGGTTACTCGCCATTTGAAAAGTTGGAGATTGAGCAAGGTGCTAATTTACATGTAGCTATTGGGTCAGGAAGGTATCAAGTACCGAAAGATGGAAATGGGTACAGTAAGGAGTTGATTGAACTTATCAAGAAGTGTTTGAAAGTGGATGCTTCGGAGAGACCAACGGCAGATGAGTTGTTAGATGCAGCGTTGGATATAAGTAGCAAACTCATGGTATAGTTGTGTGTCTCAGTTTTGGTGCAAGTAACATCGGTAGCGCCGCATATATATATATATACATTTGAAACACGCGGGTATACAAAATCACTGTTGTTGTAATGAACTTACTCTCAACGACGTTTTCAAGTCATGACATTGACAAAGTATCAAAGAGGCGACGCAATAGAAGGTTGGAATGACTGTCCAACTCCAATCTCACTCTCCAAAAACAACTGGCAGATTTCCTTATCTGGTGATGAAATACGACAGAAACGTGAAGAATTACAAGATCAACTAACCAAAGTATTTGGTCTCCAATTATCATTACCGGAAAGAGAGCGGGATCATTACAAGAATAAACTTCAGAGTCAAATTCATGTAGTGAATCAACAACACCTTCCATTTATTGAAACTGTATTTCGAGAGTTGTTGGGAAATGAACCAAACTCGTCCAAACTTAAATCAGATGTGGTTGATTATATGATGAATCATGACGGAGTAAGTGCATGGTGTTCACCGTTGAAAAAGATTGTTTCAAGTGTGCAAAGATGATGGGGGGTCTAGATTAATGTACAATATATTTAGTTAGAGAATCCTACAAATAGACATGCATGCAAATACTCGACACGAAATATACAAAAATGGGGTGAAAGTCCTTGTCCTTGTTTTTGTTTTTTTCTCTGTCTCTGTCTGTCTCTTAAAACTTCTTTCTTCTTCCGATTTGTGCTTGGAAACCAGTCTTGATCGAAGAGACCGACCTTGTTGAACCACATGCTTTACAGCTCAAGAAATGCAATCTGTTTGCACTCTCCCTCTTTAACTCAGTATTCATACTCTTGCAAGTCTTACAAGTAACGTATTCAATGATGTACCTTCTCAACACACTCTCCATCTGTTTTGGTTGAAACTTACCTTTCAAGATCAATCTCTTTTCACCATCAATAGAACCCGAAGTACCCAATTCAGCAAATAAAAATTGTATCAAATGCTCTGGGTTTCTTTGCAAAACAGTGGCAATCTCTTGCACATTGGCAAACATCGTCTTTTTCGAACCCTCTCTTTGACATACTGGTGGTGGGATTCTGAATTTTGGACCGGACCTGTCACCAGCAAGTTCAGGGTTATTTTCCTTCAAAATCTCAAAGAAACGAGTCAACAAGTCTTCATATGATAATCCAGCATCTGATTGAGACACTTTGCTGTTGCTTGAATCGTCATCTATCTGGTCATTAGTCGTATCTTCAATCCCTGCTTTTTCCAATTGTTGTTCAAACTCATTCAAGTCCAAGTTCTTGGTACTCTTCTTCTTCTTCTTCTTCAACGTCAAGTCACCCAAAGACGCAGCAACATCATCAGCATCTGCTGCTCCTGCTGCAGTAGATGGCGAGCTCGATTTCTCCACTGAGTCCTCGGCAGTCTTTTTCGATGATTTCTTCTTCTTCTTCATTCCGGAAAATAAGTCATCAACAGATTCAGGGGCGGGCGTTGACTCATTGCTTTCTGGTGCGGGAGATGCGCCATCGACTGGCTTCTTGACTTTCTTTTTCTTTTTCAAGGATGGATCAAAGCCTAAGTCTGACATGTTTGTAGTTGTTTAATGGTGGATTATATAGGCGCTATTTCCCGAAGGCGTTACAATAGTAGGGGTGTGGTTTGTAAATTTTGATTTTATCACTTTGAAAAATTTTTTTTATTTTATTTATTTATTTATTTATTTATGCGATTCATTCATTCTTTGTGTCATACACAACATATACTCTACATTGCTTGAGATCATACTTCAAACAGTTTATGGTTTATACACAACATACTATCAATTATCTCCTATCACGACTCAAGAGAAAGGTTCGCTGTAGAGCTTTCAATCAGCTCTCCACTTTCTGCCTTGCCATCCTTTTCTTTATCTATTTTGGCCGCAAATACCGCATCCCTTGCATTATCATCAGCCAATTTACTCTCTTTACCAGGTTGATAACTAATCTTTGTATTTTCGCCATCTTCCTCCACTTTGAAATCTTCTTCTGGTGCATATTTTTTCAAAAACCAATTCTCTACATCAACCTTGCCATTATTTTCGGCTTCATATATCGAATCATGTCCCGCTTCATTCTTCTCAAATGCGTCTGCCTCGTAATTCTCAACAAGCAATTTCACAACTTCTAGATGTCCATTGTATGCTGCCCAATGCAAGGCGGTGTTTCCGGTTTCATTCTTCACCTTCGCTAGACTTATTGCATCTTGCTTTGGTATTATGGAAAGAAGGTACTGAAGTGTCTCCAAGTGGCCGTTTGCTGCTGCCATATGTACTGGGGTTGCTAATGTCATGTCGTCTTTGATATCTAGTAATGATTCTTTGGGTATTTCTGCAAATATCTCCTTCAATGATTCAAGCTCACCTGCCCTTGCCTCTGACATGATTATATCCATCTCCTCCTGTGACAATTTTTCAGTTTCTGTCGTCATTTTCTGTCGGGTTAAAGAGAGTCAAGAAACGCTAAGCTGTAGATGTATATCTAATCTCTTGTATTAAAGAGGATGAAGTGAAATGTGAAGTTGAAAAAAAAAAAAAAAAAAAAAAAAAAAAAAAAAAAAAAAAAAAAAAAAAAAAAAACCAAGAAAAATTGGTGATGGTATTGATAGAAAAGCATCGCAAAAATGGACTGTATATAAACAACACACTGAGCAAATCAATCAACAGCAACGACAGCGGCAGCGGCAAACACATCAACTCAGTAATATTCAAGCATCACTGTCATGTCCCCCAAAATTGAAGAGCTTCCGGACGACTACAACGTAAATAGTCAGGCAAGCAAACCTACGGACTCATCTGCCCCTAAAAAGCTTCCCAAAAAGAACCCTTTTGCTGAAGAGCCAAAGAAGACAACTATCAAGAGATCGGCAGACGAAGTGTATTCGCAACGCAAAGGACTCAATAAACCACAATTTACAAGAAACAAACCTATAGATATCCTATTTGAACAATTGGAGACCTTGCTAGATCTACCTTATGATCAATCGAGCTTGAACATTCTCAATCAACGAATTTTTAATAATGCCACCACTGCGGAACCACGGTTTAAAGTGGTCGCGTATTTGCTTGATAAGCTCCTAGATATTCAAAAATACTCCTTGGAGCCTCAGTTCAAAGACAAGTCCGTAATTGCAATATCATTGCATGACGTAAAAACTTTTAGCAAACTTGTAAACACTATAATTATACTTGGAGTCTACCCGGCTTTGAATGTGTTCCACATTGGTATACCTTTTGAGAAACGAACATTGAAAGATGCAAACCAGAGCAAAAAGACATTTAAAATTGACAAACTTAACACCGATGACAAGACCGCTATTGAACTCCTAAAGCTCCTCTACAGCAAACTATTTGTCCTTTTCCAAACTCCATCCGATGTAACTGACTTGCTCAGCAAAGGGTCTGGTTTATCAGACTTTATCACGATATCCATTGCTTTAATAACAATCCCCAACGTTGATCATGCAAAGTACATTGACGAATTTCCCAGTGTTGAAAAGATTCCTGCCACTTTTGAATTGTTTCAAACTTACTCGCTCTTACTTGCATCTCCGTCGCCCAGCTATTTCAAGACGTTTGTCATCAACCGTCTACAACTACTCCCTTACAACTCACCCCGTGGTGATGGTTTACTTGCACTTATTGAGTATGTTTTGGGTATTCGTGATCAAGACGAAATTGACATTGCCAGGTTTGATCATGTTGCCAACGTTGTGTTACTGAAGCCAAAATCTGTAAACTCTATTGACTATTTCACCTCCATTGGGAACCAAAGTTATGATTTGTTGGTCAACATTAACCGACCAACTGTTACATCCTGTGTTGTTTACGTTTTAGAGAAACTATGGGGTAAAAACACATTGATTGTACAGGATTTTTTCTTGAAGCGGGTATGGAACAATTTCAATCCAAAGTCAGACAAATCGGGGGTATTGGTAACCGAAGCTCAACTAAACAATGAAGTTAATGTCTTGCTATCGTTGTCGAGAAAAGGTTTGGAACCGGATTTTTTCAAAGCGGTAATGGCACCAATCACTATCCCTCTATGGGGTTACTACTTGTACTTGAAACGGAACGCAAAGTCAGTCGAGGTGGTGTCAAACATCTTGACAACGTATTTCACAGTAATGAAGGACTCTGACTCAACGGATCTTGTTGGTGTGGATCAAATTGCAAACAATTTGTGTGCTGAAGGAGGCAACAACTGGACGTTTACAACTGGACCAAATAACTTGGTACAAATTGAAGCCAACAAGAATGTGTTTACCTCAGAGAGTAAAGAGTCAAGAGTTGATAAATTTATCGTTGGTTTGGATTTCGCATGTACAAATTTCTTGACATTGTTGGAAAATGTCGATGGTGATATTGTTCAGGGTCTATTTTTAAAGATATTGAAACAATGGCTCAATGGAGCTAATTTGCTTGGTAGTGATGAAGAAAGCCCATTTTTGAAACTTGTGGACTTGAAGTTGTTGGAGAGTATTGGGGGGAAGTTTAAGGAAAGTTTGGCAAGGACTCCATCGGAAATGTTGCTTATCGTGCAAAGCTTCTTGAACACAAAATCTGAAGATGAGCAGGATGGTGATGACACCATGCATGATTCTGATGACGAAGATGACGAGAGTGAAGAGATCTTGCCTGTGTTGTTGGAATTGCTCTCGGCCATCTTGTCCGAGAATGATGTTGTAGTTGATGATCAATGTACCGAGCACTTGTCAGCTATCAAAACTTCATTGTCGAAATTGTCCAAACGGGTGCTGAATCAGAATATTGCACAGTCGGCAAATGCTTTAGAGTCGAGAATCTCACACATTTTGAGTGGTGATGTCCCAGTTACAAATCCAATTGACGCTCAAAAGTTGACACTAAGCAGAGCGATTGCCAGTTTAAATGATCCATTGGCGCCAATTCGTGCACATGGTCTTTACCTCCTACGTCAATTGATTGAGAGCAAAAGCGAGGTTCTCTCTCTAGACTTTGTTATCAATTTGCATTTGGTGCAATTGAAAGATCCAGAACCATTTGTATATTTGAACGTGATTAAAGGGTTGGAGAGCTTGATACAGTGGGATGAGCAAGTGGTTCTCAAAACTTTGTGTGAATTGTATCTAAACAAGAACACTGATTTAGATGAACGATTGAGAATTGGTGAGATTATTCTTCGCTATATACAAGTGTCGAATAAAACATTTCAAGGAGAGTCGGCCAGTCTTGTTGTCGAAACGACGCTATTTGTCATACGCAGACATGACACAGACGACGATAGAGTCAGAATGTCGGCGATGTCACTATTGGGCATGTGTTGCAAGGTGAATCCGATTGGGTTGATTGGCAAGTTGGAAGATGCGTTAGATTGTGCCATTGGTGTGCTCAATTTGGAAACTGGTTCTGAAAAGGCCATTGTGCGAAGAGCTGGTGTGGTTTTGATCCAGGACTTGATTTTAGGTACGTCCGAGACGGATAAGGTGCAATTCCCTGAGAAATATCGAGAAACAGTGATTATAGTGTTGAACTATGTTGCATCTACGGATAATGATATATTTGTCAGAGAACAAGCACAAAAAGTATTGGATCTTATTGAAGAGTTGTTCAAACTCGCCATGGATATGTATTTCGAGAAAAAATAAGTAAAGTATATAAAGTGTATAACCTTTAATGAGCAAACCTAAAATCCAATCTCTTGTTCCCATCATCAGTTGTGTTGCAAATATAGTTCATTTTTTCGTCTTCAGACATCATATCCCAAATCTTTGCCTTGGACTTATTTCTCCACACATAATAAAACTTGGTCAACAAAAGCAACGGTATTGCAGCCAAGGTGACAAACCACAATTGCAAAAGCCCCCTTCTGTACAACGGCCGATCATCTTCTCTAAATACGTTCTGGGCTATAATCGCACCCATTTGAACCGACATGTTGTACATTGCGGAGCAAATGGATCTTGTTCTAACCGAGTTGGAGTTTCTTGATACCCAAGACACAAGGATGGCGTGGATATACGGGATCGCGTAGTATATTGTATTCAACGCAAAGCTCTCCCACACCTTGATACCACTTCCGGGCCAAAACCTAACAACTCCCAAAGTTATTGCACCATACACTGGGGCTATCAACGAGATATACGATCTGTCATTTAATTTTTCTGATAACCAAGTGATTCCAAGAAGATTGCAAATGTATAGGAAATAAGCTGGGATGGTCAACAAGTTGGTGTCAAACGTATTAAACCCAAGCTCTCTAGTCATCAATGTGAAATACGATCCAAATGTAAAATGACCAATGTATGCCAACAATCCAATTGCGTACAATGGCCATAAATCATAGTCGGAAAGACATACCCACAACATCTTCAATGAGATTGCCTGTCGATTGTGCATTGTGCCCTTGGTTGGATCATCACGCAAGATACGATTGACGACGATCTTTTCCTCACGATCGGTGAACCACCCCTTTGGATGCATCCAGTTTTTGGTTTGGAGTGCCGAGGGAACCATCATGTAGAAGGAGCCCATACCAATTAATAAAGTAAACAAACCTTCCCAAAGGAAAAGATGGGCCCATCCTGGATATCCAAACACTCCTCTCAACCGCAAGATTCCAAATGCAGCAAGGGCAATACAAATTTGAGTGATTGTCAATGTGGACCAGAACCACGACAATCTGATGGACAACTCCTTGCTGGTGAAGAAGTAACTCAACCACAATACCAAGTCAGCAATGAATCCACCTTCAATAGCACCAATCAATCCCCTAGTTATGTAAAATGATGCTTTGCCACTAAGTGCAACTTGGCACATAGCCACGATACTCCAAGCGCAAATTTGAATTGGGATGAAAATATCAGGTCCGAGTCGTTTTGAGATCATTTGGGATGGGATTTCAGCCAATAAGAAGCAGACATAAAAGATTGTGTTCCCTGTATTGTAGTCATTTGTGTTGAGACCCAAATCAGGCAAGAAGTTGTCAGTGATGGCTTGGTGAAGATTGGTTCTGTCGATTTGCAAAGCAACAAACATGAGACAGGCTGCGAGGGCAACTCGAACATTCAATTTGCGGACGACTTTCTTTTCTTCCGTTTCTGTCCATTCAAAATCTGGGTCGAATGCAGAACGGCACTCGTAGTTTGTTTTCTCGTATAGTTCTCTGTAGTATTGAGCAGTTGCCGGGTCAACAAATGGGTTGACTGATTGGGTACGGGAACTTGTCTCGGTGATACTTGAGATTTCAGTCTCGATATTTTTCTCCACCTCTTTGAAGTTGGTTGAGTCAGTGGGGACCTTATCTTGCATCGATGGGTAAGACTGCAAGAGCCCTTTCAGCAACGCCAATTCTTGACTATTTGATGTCATTGCAGTACCGCCTTGATGGATTGATAGTGGTGAAAAGTTTCAAATTTCCCAGACATTTGGATGTCATTTTATATCCTCTACTGTGGCTCAATATTTGCATTGATTCTCGTGGGTTGTTTGTTCATATGATCATAAATTGGGTCAAGTCGAAATATTTGCCAAGCGTTTGCAATTGTGGATATCAAGTTCGTCAACAAGTGCTCATATTGAAAAATCGGTACTCTTTTTGATGCTAAATTGCCATTTTGCGACAGTAGACAACTCAAATTATTGCGAGTGAGTAACTTAGTGTGGAAGCTTAAACCACGCGATGCCTTTGACTCAACTTTTGAGGTTTATGGGTCTGTCTATAGGCTGTGATATATGTTCCTAGCACCCAAGCATTTATGTACCATGTGTAGCCACAAACATCCCCTCCTCGTAGGCCCTGTCCACTTCCATGGGTCGGGCATCCAAAGCTAGCTACTCGTCTTGTTTCCTCACAGAGTAATTGAGCCATAGCCTTGTAATCTCTTGTTTCAAAGACCCACCCCAGCACCAAGAACAAGCTTTTTCAAAAAAAAAGAAAAAAAGAAAAACAAATTACAGTGAACAACGCCAAGACGTGGAACTGACCGGAAATTACAGCCACAGTTTGTAAATACGTGCTGTAGCTGGGAGTGCCATGGCCGTGTGCCTAGTTGTAATTCACAGGTAAGGTGCCATCGTTTTAATGAATAGGATGGTGTGATTAAAACGGTTGAAAACTCTGCAATTAATTTGGTGTTTTGATCTGATTTTTATTGCGTCAAGGGTATTACAACTTTGTGTCAGTTTTCTTGAAGCTGTGCTACAATTACGGCTTATCACAACAGCTTTAAATTGTCTGATGCACTGTGGTTTAGACCAAGCGTGTTTGAAGTTGTTGACCATCCGGAGCAGGAAAAGTCTCCACAACTATAGCCTTATCCTTCTCTTTCATCGTTTGTGAACACAGTTTGTAAGGTTACCAAGAAAATGAGCAAACCTGCAGTGTTAGAGGGTCGAATAGAGCACGATGCTCAATTAACTATGTAGATTATACATTAAGAACACGCTATGCAGTTCATTTCTCATACGCAAAATTGCAGTACAGGAAGTTAGAACCCACGCCCCGCACTTTATCTTCGGGGGCGGTAGTATTTTGGAAACTTTTGCTCCAGATTAATACAATTTCCTCTAATTTAGTTGCAAAAAAAAATAAAAAGAAAAAGAAAAAAAAAGACGACATACAAAAACATGTATCACAACAAGGTTTACAACTAATCAGGCTTAGTTAGGACTGCTCAGACCAACACGGCAGAAATGTAAACAGCTTTGTTTTGCTTACTAGAGAGAAGGTACAAACAACAACTGGTTTCTTAATGCAACTGATGTTTCTCTGAATGAGAAAAGTCATGTCCTCGCAATTCGAAATAGTCAGGCCAACATATTCAGAAGAAGAATAAGAATTGGAATTCGTAGGGACGGTTCCCATTCAGCAAAGTAAGCGACATTGGTTTGAAGCTGAGCAAGAAATTAGTTGCAAGGCACTTGTAGTTGTATATAGTTGTCTCAGCCTCTTTATTGTAAGTGAGAGGGAGAAATAAAAAAAATATTGACATAAAACGTGACACATATTATTTAGTATATGACATCATAGATAACACACATTAGATCAGAAAGCAACAACCCTACAAAATTTTTGGTAATCTTCTCATAGAGAAGTATCTTATGTTTCTATGAGACATATAATACTCGAGATTGCTAGGAAACACATTGAGTGCAAGTGCTACTGCTGCTGCTGCTGCTGTTGTTTTTGTTGCTGTAGTAGTAGTAGTTGAAAGTGAAATTAACAGCAACCTAAAAGAGCCACAAAAACCACAAAATGAAACACACACATACAAACATATACAAACATATACACAAGACACACAAGACACACAAGACACATAAAAAACATGAAATATCCACATCTTTAGCTTTCCAACTACGAAATTCAGATTCTTCATCCGCTGTTCACCTCACTAGACAAATAATCATGTTGATTCCAATAAAAGAAGACGTCAGTGACGCCATCCCCAACATCATCAAACGGTATCCATACTACTACAACAACTACAACAGTGGTTGGAACCGCTGGAGATGGTTATTATGGCTATTGGTCTTGATACCAATATTCTTTGTCTTGATTATGTTTTGTTTGAGAAGGAGAAGATCAACCAGTACAGTATACTACCCACAAGATCAAAACCAACAATATTACCAAAATCAACAACCACAGCAAGGTTATGTTCCACCTGAATATCCCCAAACTTCTCAACCAGGAGGACACGACATCGGCAACAACGCCGGCTACTATGGGAGCCAAGAGTACAACAACTATGGACCAAGTGGCGGCGCTGGCACTGGACAACAAGGCTATTACTCAAGAGAACAAGAACATGATGTTGCAGGTGACGATTATGGTCCACCTCCGGGACCACCTCCAGCTCACACCAAATATTAAGGCTGTGCTTGACGTAACCTATATTTCGGTCATGAAAATAGTCTATCTAGGCTTGTATAGTTAATGTATTTGATACCTCGTTGTCCAGTCTTTGTAGCGTTGGAAAGATACATTTTATTTCACTACCCTTCTCAGAGTTGAACTCTAAGACAAGACAAAAGACCTTCACATCAAGATGACGTTTGCAATTGAAGCGTTTGAGATGACTCAATACAGGGAGACATCATCATCACATATACAGGCTTAGATTGCCGCATTTATACTTTTTGAACTATAAAATCTTTCCAACTTTGCTAACAACGGTCAGTACACATCCATCAATGTTCAAATCTAAAGTCTAACCTCTTGTTTGCTTCGTCAGTAGTTGTATCTCTATAAGTTTGCTGCTCCTCCTCACTCATTGCATTCCATATCTTATCTTTGCTCTTGTTTCTCCAAACGTAGTACGCTTTAACCAACAACAACACTGGTATCAAGATCAAACTAATGACAAAAATCTGTAAGTTACCCCTCTTGTATTGTGGTCTATCATCCTCACGGTAAATATTGTTAGCAATGATTCCTCCCAATTGGACAAACATGTTGTACAATGCGGAACAAATGGATCTG